GTTACATGCGCGCGAACTTGATGTATAATTTGCAAAATTTTGTGTTACTCACTCATTTATTGGAGGGCACTGTATATGTGAAGTGAAGGGAAAAATACTAGAGGGCTGAAGATACACAGAACCCTCACAGAAGAACATCCAACCCACACCATGCAGTCCTGGTGGGATCAAGCACTTCATACTGGTAACAAATAATTGTCAATGATTACATATTGGGTGTATAGGGAAAAAAGCTTGTGTTTGGATTGATCAAAAAAAGATACTGTTCACTCCAATTCACTCGTATCTGATCGGTATTGGGATGTGCGTTCGAAAGTCTGCGCAATACAATAAAATTCTTATTCTATCACCAGCTGGCACATCGCACCTAATTTCGCGTTCCAAAAACGCGTGGCTAATCTACAGCAATAAATAAAAAATATAGAATATGATGAAAAGCAACATGTGACTAGAAATGTATTTTTCTATGGACTGACCTTCCGTTCCTTCGCAGAATGTTAGCGTTGAGGCAGTAATTCAAAAGAGTAAAAGACGTAAAATTGTTATTATTTTTCTTTTAGTGGCTTTCCGATGTAGCTAACATATAATAGTCGTAGGTAAAATCTATTATTGAATATTTTATCAACTAAGTGAAGATTCACAGTATCCTTATCATTTTCGTGCTTGCGATTAATCCCACAGTCAGAATGACAATTGAAGCCTACAAATTCCCCAATTCATTAACTGGCTTTGAAGCTGACATTGATGGTAATTGTACATAAAAAGTATCGTCAGAGACGGTCAGCAGGCTGCTAAATAGTACAATATAGCTATTCAGTTTGCATCGACAGATAACTTACGAATTACCAAGCGCTTTTTATATGAGTGGTCTTGGTGCGTACCTTCTTGAAGAAAAATTCCCCAATGCTTAGTTGGCATGACTTATGTATCCAAATTTAAACAGGATTCTGATTCTGATCAAGTTCGATTTTGTCCTTATTCACTGTTGTTGCGGGGAAAGCTGATTTGATCCATAGCATTGTTATTACTATTGAACAGCAACAAGCAGAACGATATGTTGGATTATAGAGAGCATATGTGTAGAGTACGTTATTCCGAAAAGTTATTTCGGGCACTGTAATTAACGGGATTACTCTTTGTATATAATCTGGGATCTAGGATACATCATGAACTTGACTTTGACTTCGTATGTGAATGTTAACCCATGGGGGAAGATCACAAGTCACTGTATGACATTACTACGTTCGTGCCCGCTACTCAAAGTATTGAGTTTTGCTGCGGATAATGCGGTTGTATTAATGTATTGAATTGGTATGAACAAAGTAAGCAGTCGCTAGATAATCACTATCATGTTACAAATTAAATAATGCCAATCATTCTAAGAATCCGTTCCCAATGTCCATAAGAAATTGTTATATATAATACACGACAAACCCAAGCTGATTATGTATTCTTTCGTTTACGCCAGTGAGGAAATATATTACTACTCAACCTCCTAATATTTATATCGCGAAACAAAAAAAGACGTTAGCGACAAATCCAACCCATTCAAGCGAATCACATATGCATATCCGTTGGATTATCGTAGGACGTTAATGAAACATATTCATCTTACCTCGGTGTCTGTAAAAAGTGTTTTACAGTGAAAACTATACCAAGTACCCCACCCAGCATTCCAATTATAATATACGCAAGGCCCAAAAACGGATTCTTCCCACCAATCTCAGTGGTCGTTGTAATAACGAAACTTTTTCTCCCACTACTAACTGGCCACACTAGACAAGAAAAAGAAAATCGTATTAAGATACCATGTTCATACGATTGATAGATTCCTTAACAACTCTTCTCATCAACTTACGTAAATCAATAACAAGTTCGTATGTCCCAATAGGCAAAGTGTTGTTGTTATTGATACCATACAGCTTTCTAAATCTAGGCAAACCTGCTAGACGCATCCACACTTGGAACAACTCATTTTTGCTAGGATCAATAGGTGGAAATTCGGGGGTGTACTTTCCATCAGGATATCTCTTGACCCAGTTTGGTGGCGGTGCTATTTCTGATATATTGTAAGAAGTTTCATCGTATTTGTCATCGTCGTCACTTGCCGCTATGCCTGTTTGACTGAAATTGTATGAGGTAGGAATGTTCTGAATCGGCGAGTTGACCAATGTAAGATTGCTAAAAGTATCTAAGATAAATCGGAAAAAATTTTGGTAGGAATGAAAAAAATTATTTGCGGGTTAGTGAATAAAAACGATAGTATAAACTGCCATGACGAAGCGTTATTCAATTTACCATTAAACATCGAATTAGCGATCATCCCGCATGGATAAATAATCTTGTGGTCTGCAGTTTCCCAAAGGTCTTTACAATTATGGGCTAGTTGCGCGCGGTCGGGCTTGCCTCCGCTCAACTGATCAGGATCAAGGCTCTTGACATAAGATCTCTCATTCTGATAGAAATTTGTCAGTCTATACAAAAAGTGTACAGGTGGGTTCAGTTCTGTTGGAACAGTAAACTGAATAACACACTGTGTTATAGTTTCGTTCCAAGCCAAAGCTTGACGTTGTTTCCATCGAGGGAAGTTGTATGAGATTTGAGGTTTGTAGAAGGCGATTACGGCATTATTTATGGGCATATTTTTAAACTCTCCCGTTGGGGCTCCTCCGTTAGATTCAGTCTGTGCACAGTGGGTATAGTCGATCATAAGTTCTGATACCTATTGATAAGGTTTAATGAACGAAAAGTGAGCAATAAAATACGTTATCTTGATAGAATCCAAAAATGACATCAACACTCGAATAAAATACCAGCGAATAATAAACATATCTTTTGTCTCTACTCACCTTATCACTTTCATGCAATAAATATCCTCCCAAAGGTGCAAAAATAATCGCAATCAGGTAGAATACTGGAATAACCGACTTGGGAGCAATAACTGGCTGGCACGATTTCAAACGTTGTTGTTTGAACGCCGAGCCTTGGATTTGCATAAAAAGTCAATCTTCATTAGTCTTGTCACCGCGATCGAAAGCTCTCAATCAAAGGCCTCTCAATCTACTCACCACCGGGCCTGCGACTACTACTTTTCTCTGCCATTTGTCAAGGAGTCATTTAACACCGAGTTAAGGAGTTATTATAAGTATGTGACATTGCAACTTCATTTCCATAAATAGTTCCTGCCAATTAGATTGTAGTAACCATTTATACCGAGGATCTCTACTCCGTGAACGCGTAATTGTTCCGACATTCCTAATTATAATACGCAGAATGGTAAAAGTAAATGAAGGTGACAGAGACAGTTCGCCGCGTGGAGGTAAAAAGGTTCCGCGCTCGGCAAAAAAGGATGTCAGTCGGTATGAATGGAGTCTAATGCTTGTCGGAAAAGCCCGTGATATGTAATACTAATCAGAAGAACGCTTGTACTCCTCGCGATACTGTAGGAATTCGGTAATTACAAATTACTTTCCACGCATTCCGAATCAGAACGGAAGGTAGGTGCTGATTGTCACTTTCAACCTTGTATATTTAATATTCTTTTTTCGCATTATTTACAATGAACCGTTTACCTTGCAAGTTAGTCAGGTCAAAAATGGAACAATATCGAAACCTGTCTATATAGTAGATAGTGAAGACGAGGACAAGGACGTTCCAGAGGTAAAAAAAAGATGCATTGACAGCGACTAGTATGTGTTTACCGAAATGATACGATTTGAATCGTTGGCTAATAGGTTATTGAAGACGATGAGGATGATTTATTATTGAATACAACATTTGACTTTTCCCCTCCGGAAATCCTAAACAGGTTACGAGAAGGGTTAGAGATTAACGCTACCAAAAATTTTTTGTTGCGTATTTATATCTATATATAACTTCATGTTGTGTACCTTTACATAATTTAATGCTGATTATTTACAGTGATGAAACGGATGAAACAGGACTACGACGAGGCACGCGGGTCCGAAAAAATATTGTTCAGGAAGGTTTCGTACCAACAGTAGAAGCTGTACCACTGCGAGGTGGGCCTCGGTCGCAGGAATATTATGCGAAAAACGGACAGAGATCTCAACCATCATATCAGTATTCCTTATCGTCATTGTTACGCGAAAAGCAAGCAAGGGATAAGAAGGGATATAATATAGAGTTTCTTGAGCAAAGTCTCGATAATGACATTGTATGGCCGTATGAGAGAAAAGTTTTGCTTGTTTTTATACAATCACGGTACAATGATTGAGATGTATTCTATATTATTAGTCAATGGACGATATTGACGATCCTTTCACTGACTTTGATCGAGAAAATGTGACAGCAAACATTATCCCAGAGTATCAAAGGGAACATTTACAAAAGGTTGGTCAAAACGTAATTTTGATTGTCATTTATCCGCTAAATATTGACAACAGCCTTTGATAGATTATTGCAGAAGAACAAAGGATTTGTTTTGAACGACAATTAAACTTTTTTGAATCAATACCCGAGGTACACATATACAAGTGCTTTCGCTTAAATCGGATAATTTTATTAATGATATGTTTGCCTCGGTGAACGTCAACTATAGAGATTGCGTGATCCAACGTTGGTCACAAATGATTTTTTGACGAGGGATGCTGTATATAGGCTACTATTGGAGGCTTCGAGTGGTATGAAAACAATGGAAAATATGTTAATGTTGCAAATTCAATCTTTTTTACAGCTTAATTTGTCGGTAGATGATGCAAGCACACACGAAATTCTTTGCAGCAATTGGATTTCTCAGCAATATAAAGTCGGTTGGAAATTGCCCGTTGAAGTGGTCAAATGGTTGCTCGAAGTGGGTGAGTGAGTAATTAAATTAACTCAACACGTTTCGAAAGCTCTAATAGCTTTTTAACTACTACATAGTCAGTTTTGAAAGTAACGAAATTCTCGCAGGGGCTGCATATCATACTCTAAAACGACTAGCAGAAATATACACAAGTGCAAGTATTTAAAGTTTATTAGAACCGTTGTTCTAATTTATTCAATGATTAACGATAAACTTTCCAAACAGTCACAAGAGGATAAGTTGCTTTCATGTGAAATCAGAATACCGTTTCAATTTATATTTGAAATATTAGAAGAATATGGTGCGCCACCAGCTCTATTGGGATGTAGATGTCGTGTGGCGGAACGCGCTATTCAAATGTCTTCTTTGTCGGGTAATTTGCGATTGTGACTTTTTTAATCAGTTCGCATGATTAATAACATCAATTAATATCTCTTTGATTAGAATCATCTTCCTGCTGGGCGTACTTGGACAATCTACGGTTATTACTGCGAATAGTGGTTCCGTTGATCGAAATCAAGTAAGTAAAGGTCATACTTAATGGGATAAAACACGAGTAAACGTGCTTAATCTTTTATTTGGTATAGATGGCTGTCATTTTCAACTCATGACGATATAAGGAAGGCTATTAGTGCACTTGTTCGTCTGTCATTCGACGTACGTTTGCGGTGCCTATCAAGCGATTTGGAGCTTACAATAGGTTCCCTTTTGGATGCCATCGATGATTCGCAATGGGCTTTGCAAGTAAGTTGGAGGAACAACTCACCTTGTTGTGTGTAACTGGATTTCAATTAATTATTTGCTATTCAGGTGAAACTTCTCTGCAAGGACATAACATGGTCCATTGGCGGTTCGCTATACTTTAATGTAGCGTTACTGGCACGTTTGCCCATTTCTAAGCGTGGTTTATTATTACGTCGATTGCTGGCCTTTAATTTTCTACTATCCAAGAAAGCTGACCCTTGGAGTCTTGACAAAGTAAGACTTGCACCAAGTTGGTTATTTGACAAAACCAAATAATTAATTCCGTCCCCATTCCTTTCTCCGGTTTAATAGGTAGACATATCTCAACCCATATCGCTCGAACCAATTTTGGGACTTTTTTCAGATTCATCACCGACCTTCAAGATTACCAAGAACACTGATTATGATGAGCTGGCAGTATTAGTATCCATATTAGGATTTGCACTTGATGATGAAAATCAATTGCGGCAAAACAAGGTACAGAAAATCGCTGATGGGTTTGCTGTCGTAAGTAGTCATCGAATGCTCACATACTGCTTTGTTTATAGCAAGTCACTGAAGAGTTAATTAGCAAGATAAAGCAACTTCAGGGCAAAATAGGTACGTATAAAGTACTATAACACGCTGTCTAAACGAAACATATGTTGATATACCACCTTTTTGTAGTTGACCATAAAGCTGCCTTTATAGAACGAACCAAGGTAAATTTGAATCTTTTTCTCGCATGTTATTAATGTATCAGTACACGCTTTTAACGCGCGATAATCGTTTGCAGTCAAAAGATGTTATACAACGACTATTCATGAGATTATACTACGTGGTAAGGGATGATAGAAGAAGCAACTCTTCCCTAAAAAATTTTACTTCCTCGAAAAATACGCATAATCATTAAACGTTATGTAATGTTTTCCAATTCTCAATAATTTGTTAAAAAAAAACAAACAAAAAAAAACAACCTTCAAATACGACATAAAGTCGGTCGTAATGCTTAATCTGAATAAAGTTTGCAGGAATCATTTTATTTATCATATAACTTCAAAACACGCGTCTATCTGCCGAGTATTTTGTAAAGTGATTTGCTTGAATAAGAAAAAATCTCGACATCTACGATGATGATATTTCGACGATTCCCTCCGCGCCTTGATATTGTATTTTGATTATGCGATTTTCAAGTCGACATCAATTATGCATCAAAGTGAAAGAATAGTTTTTGAACCGACACGCAAAACTGTTTCCTTTCCTCGACAATCAAATAGCGGCTAAAGAACTTCCAGTCAAGATTAATATGTATTTATCGTGAACCGATCCTATCTTCTGTCAGTAATACAGTGCAATATGGCAGACTAATAATGAATGCCTCACATATTAACAAAGCCCGTGAAATGTTGCTTATTATTATCATACCCCCATTCACTATTAACGTTTCCCTATTACTTACAATAAGCGTATACCAAAAATCTATTAATTTGTGCTGTCGAATCTATCTGCAAGACGAAATAGCTAAACTAATCACACTGTTTATGAAATAGAAAGTAGAGTAGATTACGAGGGGGATGCAATTAGTTAACAAAATATTACAGAATGTTTTTAGTAGATTACATTTTTACGAATTGTCCGATAATTATGTAAGTAGTTGAAATTGATCAATTACAAGGAAAGCCATTCTTTCCCTGTTGATACACTTCAAATGTACTGTCGTGTATCAAAGTGAGAAGTAAAATATAAATACATTGAAACGAAATAAGATTTCGTAAAAGATACTATATAACAAGTCCTATCTATAAATTAACAAGATCAGTTAATAGTCAACCAACAACTCATGTACAAACAAGCTCTCCCCCTTCGCAAGCTTATCGTACAAGTCAGTTGTTAGTTACTACATTATCTGAAAGATTGAGAAGCAGTTGTGCAAGATAGTGTTTCGTATGAGGATCGTCTTTGAGAACTTGTGAAAACGTAGCATCGCGTAGAGGTTCTGGTAGACACTGGCGAAGTGCTTCCCGCGCTCTGGATGTAAAAAGAGTGGGAGGGTAAGTGAGCCAAATTCTTTGTAAACAAATACTGAAACTTTTTGTCGCACTATGCTAGAACAATCAAGCTTACTTTGGATTCTCTGACAATCGAACATAGCAGCGTACGACATGCTTAAGAAGACGAGCAGCTCTAGTCTCCACTAATTGATTGACCATGTTGTTCAAGACTGTTCCAACAGCATAAAATCTTTCATATGTTCCGCAAATATAATTTAATCCAGTGTCATCTGAGAGTATTTTCTGAACAATGAATATGGCCACCTGTGTTGAAAAAAAAGCAAAAGTTAATAAAATAGTTAAACTATTGCTTGAAAGCAATGACCACTTAAAAATGTTAATTATTACTGTTTTTGATAGTTCACTGCCCGTCTCCATAATTCGAAGGCAAAAAGGTATAATCTCTGTTGACAATAGGAACTGAATTACTTCTGTATTATCGTTCTAGCGTAGCATTGAAAAAAGAAACACGCATAATGTTAGATGAATATTGCTAACGCAAACTGCATTGTAAATGTTTAAACAGTCACGAACTGTCTAGCGTCTCCAATTCTATTATGATCACGTACTTTGACGAGTGCTCCAATTACACCAAGGCTCGTTAGCCTCAAAAACTCAAAAGGTCTTATCTTGCTTGTTGTGTTGAGAAATGGATACAGAAAGAATGGAATATGAGCTAATGATTGGACGACGCGTTTCGGCGTATACAATGTGTGTCCGGTAAGATTTGGTTATGTTAAATGAACAAAAATTAGTATCTGACACGTAATAAAAAGGGTAAATGCTGGGAGAAAAAGTAAAAAATAAAAAATATATATAATATTTTTGAAAATAAAAAACTCACCATTGAGAAAAAGTCCCCTCGTCTCCTGATGACTGGCAACACATTGGAGTAAAGCGAGAGCATTGCAAACTCTATTTGATGCATGGCCTGTCAGTGTTGGTGGGGAGAGATGAGGATACACTTAAATAATTTCTTGGAGGAGAGTAGCCATTACTCCTGTACGAGAAATAGTCGCAAATATTAGTATAAAATATAAGTCCAGATATAATTGCAATCATGTTTTTATGGCATGTATGGTTTACATATGGTTTATTTTCCTTGTTACAGTTGATCATTGATAATGCACGAAACAAATAATTCCCACGCTCCGCATTTATCTTACCAAAGGAGTGCCATAATATTAAAGCTAAATCTTCGTATTGATCCCTCTTCCTACTCAGCTCTGACAAAGCCTGCTCCCTAGTAGCTGGATTCAACAGTTCAATAACCAATCCATAGATCTTCTCTTCCTCAATCTGAGCATACTTCTGCTGGTGTTGGAGTGGTAAAGAAAGTGGTCCACTAGAAGCAGTAGCCCAAGGTTCAGGACCGATACTGAGAGGATGGAGGTTAGCTGAAGCTTGAAGATGGTTTGACAGTGAAGTGGCGCCGTTGAGACCGAGTGGATTTGGCGCACTTAGAGCAGAGGCAGCGGCTGCTTGCTGTAGTTGAAGATATTGATGAATATGGTTGGCATGTTGCTGACCGAGTGAATTCATGTTTGAGTGTTGGGAATGCAAAGAGTGAGCTGAAGAGGGCAAGGTGAGGGGGATGAAAGAAGAGTAGATGAAGGATGTGGCTTGCCTTATATAGAGCGTGGGGTTTGGAATAGATCTGCATCGATATAACCAATAAGATTAAATTATTGATATAATCACGTGAAAGACGAAACAAACAAAAAATTTTTGATCTCCTTAGGCGTATCTTGTTAAGCTTTTGCTTTCTCGTTCCGGTCTAGTTCGTTTATTCAATTCTAACCGTCATTTCGGCTCGGAAATATGTTGATTAAATCGGAATTTAACAACTCGAATGAATTGATCCGCATAAGATTCATATCAATAGTTCGACAGATCTCATCGTGATAGTACCCATCTTCTTTCGTTTTTGCTGATTTTCTACAGTGATTGTCGACTTTTTATCATCCCATCACACAAAGTCGAACTATTCAGAAAAGTGGCTGCGGGCCAATAAAATAAAAATATTACCTTATTTGACCCGAATCTCTGGCAAAAACTTACTATTACATTTCAATCCGACTACTATCGAATTTCCGGTCTGCAAAAAGAATTGAGTCGATATCCTGTCTCTCGGCGGACGAATTATAATTATGTGGATGGTATGATATGTTAATATTGGCCAAATATGAATTAGTTTTCGTTAGTATCGTGTGAAAACTTCCAACCCGTGATGCATCACTGAAGAATTCCAAAAGTATGGTGCACCAACTCTATACTCGACAATGTTTCAATTTCGGAGATGCAGTGTAACGAAAAAACTGTCCAATAAAAT